GGGCAATCACTTTTTCACACAGGGCCATGTAGGTTTGGATTTTTTTTCCCCCTTAATAATAAAAACCTTCATTTAAAAACTGCATTTTGTGTTTACTTGTGTTATCTTTGTCTAATATTTAAATTTGTTTGATGATCTGAAACATTTAAGTGTGACAAACATGCAAAAAAATAAGAAATCAGGAAGGGGGCAAACACTTTTTCACACAACTGTATGTGTGTGTGTATATATATATATGTATATGTATATATATGTATATGTATATGTATATATATGTATATATAAGTATATATATATATGTATATATATGTATACTTTTACTGTAGTAACAATTTAAATGCAGGACTTTTACTTTGAAAGGAAAACAATAAAGAAAAAATAAGTTTCCTCCTGAGAGGAAGATTTTATAAGAATTCCTGAAACAAGACTGTGCGAGAGTGTGTATAAGTGTGTAAGTGTGTGTGTGTGTGTGTATAAGTGTAAGAGTGTGTATAAGTGTGTAAGTGTGTGTGTGTGTGTGTGAGAGTGAGAGAGTGTCACCTGTGACTGCAGCTCTTCACCACTTCCTGTTCCACTTCTACTCGACTCAGAGACACCAAACGTCGTCAGTCGTCTTAAAGCAGTCTGAAGAAGAAGTAAAACCGGCTCGTGATGGAGATCCAGACCTGGGTCTCTGGGCTCCTGGTCCTGGTCTCAGTGTTTCCTCCAGCAGGTAAGAAACATTTAAGACCAACGATTCGTTCACTTCCCTCTGAGCGCTCCGGTTCTTACTCTTAATTAGCATATTGATTAATAATGGAAGTAGAAGAAGAAAATATTCGCATTTAGATTTTAGTCTTTTTTTTAATCTGCTTTATTTTCTAAAAGTTGATTTTGGAGAAACGACAAAATAAAAGATGTCGGTGAAGATTTCAAAGAGTTTCCTCAACTAAAAGATGCTTCTTCCTCCTCAACTGGTCTGAAAATACAATAAATATATACATATATGTGTGTATATACTGTGTATATATGTAGTAATGTAGATCTATCTGTGTTCCAACATTACAAACCCGTGAAGAAGAAAAGAGTCGTCTCTGTTCTCTCTGGCGGCCATGTTGTCAAATATCATGACTTTAGCTTCTGAAGCTAACTGTAGCAGCTAATCATCATTGGGTTGTTTACGTAACAGATTAGCACACAAGCTAACGAAACATTAGCATCAACACAAAGGATTTAACTTGAGACGTTTCCTCTGACATCAACTCAGTTTGTGTAAAATGAAGAAACAACATGACTTTATTCATGTGTGGACTTTAAATTGAACCTGAAAGCTAAATGCTAATGTTAGCTGGACCTGCAGACACAAACATGTTTTAACTGGACGTCTGGAAAAATCATTTAATGCTGTTTCTATAACTTTATACTGTCAACAAAATATATAAGTAAAGATTAGAGCATTAAATACCAGTTTAGACTATTAAAATACCAGTTTCAATCAAGTAAAGATTAGAGCATTAAATACTAGTTGATACTATTAAAAGACCAGTTTAAACCAAGTAAAGATTAGAGCATTAAATACTAGTTTAGACTATTAAAATACTAGTTTAAACCAAGTAAAGATTAGAGCATTAAATACCAGTTTATACTATTAAATTACCAGTTTAAATCAAGTAAAGGTTAGAGCATTAAATACCAGTTTAGACTATAAAAATACCAGTTTACATCAAGTAAAGATTAGAGCATTAAATACCAGTTTAGACTAAAAATACCAGTCTACATCAAGTAAAGATTAGAGCATTAAATACCAGTTTAAACTATTAAAAGACCAGTTTAAATGAAGTAAAGATTAGAGCATTAAATACTAGTTTATACTATTAAAAGACCAGTTTAAATCAAGTAAAGTTTGGAGTATTAAGAGACCATGTTAGACCAGTAAAGACCAGTTTAAACCCAATAAAGTTTAGAGCATTACGAGACCGTGTTAGACCAGTAAAGACCAGTTTAAACCCAGTAAAGTTTAGTTCTACCAGCAGCTGGTTTTCAGCAGAGAAATGAAAACATAAAACGCATTGAATATGTTATTAAAGGGTTATTAACATAAAGAACCATTAAATGTAGGTTATTAAAGTGTCATTAACATTACAGAACACATTAAATTACCCTCTAATACACATTTAAACTCAGAAATAAGGTTTTTTTTACTAGATAAAGATGTTTTAAATGATTGATTTAAAGTCTAAGGAGACAACACAAGACATTTGGTGTTGATTCAAATGTTGCTTTCACCTTTTTAACTTTTCTTTTTAAAGTGTCTGAGGTGTAGTAATACTTCATGCTTCAGCTCAAACTACATTAATTGACCACAAACAGTTTCAGGAAGCGACTCTGTGGTTGGTTCTAAGCTGCAACTCTTAAAACCGAAGCGATGAGGAGGTCATGTGACCCGAAAGAAAACGTTTGAGGCGGCAGTTTCATCGCTCGACGTCAGAAACGAGAACGAGCAGCTGCACAAAGAAAATCATCACACATGAACTCTATCGTATCATACCAGGAGCACTTCTGCTGAAAGTAGTTAAGAAATGAATAGAGTCTGGTGGGCTGCAAATAAACCACTCTTACATTATATAACCTTTATTAAATCATTATATAACCTTTATTAACCCACTATTACATTATATAACCTTTATATAACCTTTATATAACATTATTAAATCACTCGAACAAACTGAAGCTCTTTAAAGATGTGCGTGACACATTTCATCTTCATGATCGTCAGATAAACTTTGATATTCATCAGAAACCAGATCAAAGTTTCCTGTTTGAGTCCGTCTGTAATAATATTTCAATCGTTTCATCTCGTGTCTTCTGCCTTTTACGAGCAGCTTCTGAATAGAACTCAATCTACAGGACAACAGATTCAACGTTAATATATAACTTTAAATATGAAGCTGATGTACAATACTTTAGTAAATATACTTGCTGTAGTACAACTACTGCGATACTTGCATTTTATTTTGAAATTCTTAAACTAACTGCTGTTTCTTTAAAATAATTCGTTTTTATTATCAATTGTAATCACTGAGCTGCATGTCTTTGTATGAAAGAAGTAATGTACTTTTACTACTAGTACTACTGTCTGATATGAAATATTATGTTTTATTTTTTTAATTATCTCTAATAATAATAATCTATAACATACCACTACTAGTACTACGATAGATTATCTAAACATCGACCTTAAAAATGATATTTAAAATACAGCAGTTAGTAGTAAATGTTAAAGTAGTTCAAAGATGTTTTAAACTGTCTCTTAAATTCAACCTTTTTTAAAGCAGGTTTTGAATAGAACCGTGTGTGACTAATACATGTACTGCTAATACTACTGTCTCTGATGTACTCTGGTGTACTCTGATGTACTCTGGTGTACTCTGATGTACGGTTTCATTGTGCATCAGCTGTTTTTATGAAGCGATTCCTTTAAAGTGGAAAACTAACGACAGAAAACATGAAACTGACGTCAGACCAGTTTTTCCGTTCGCTGTTTACAGTAAACGAGTTAATTTGACATTTTAATGACAGTTTGGTTCCAGTAACAAAACCAACAGCTTCCTGTTCATTCTGAGTATAAATATATATTATAGACATAAAGTATGAATGAAGGTTGAATGGAGGAAAAGCAGCAGTTGTCTCTGTCGCAGTATTATTAGTAGTTTTACTGCACACTGTACCTCAGTATATCAGGTAGAAACTGCAAAATGAAACTTTATTAAATTAACTGGAAGATGAAAACATCTTTTACATAATTATCATAAAAACAGATCAGTTTGTTTCTTAAAGAGGTTTCTGTGTACACAGTAATACTATCACCAATACTGCCACTAATACTGCCACTAATACTACCACTAAAGTGAAGATTTTATTGTCATATACATATACACATATACAAAATTTGACTTCTGCATTGAACCCATCCCTAGCTTATTGGGAGCAGTGGGCTGCTGAGAAGCGCCCGGGAGCAGTTAGGGGTTCAGTGTCTTGCTCAGGGACACTTCGGCACAGGACATGTAGCAGCCAGGGATCAAACCGCCGACCGGACGACCCTCTCTACCCAGTGAGCCACGGCCGCCCCACTAATACTGCCACTAATACTGCCACTAATACTACCACTAATACTGCCACTAATACTATCACTAATACTGCCACTAATACTGCCACTAATACTGTCACTAATACTACCATTAATACTGTCACTAATACTGTCACTAATACTGCCACTAATACTACCACTAATACTGCCATTAATACTGTCACTAATACTGCCATTAATTTGATTTTTAAAATGTGTGAAGCTGAGCTGATCGCGTGTCCACACACACACACACACATTTCCTGTACGAACACACTTGAGATACTAAAGTGACCATGACACATTGTCATGAGAACGAGGAAGCTGATGCCGCGATCATCAGACGATGTAAGTTATATTCATCTATGAGACCGCTGTTTAGACTCTTCGCACTACAATACCCATGATGCCTCGCTCCTAAAAATAACTTTAGAAATCATCTTTCTTCTTGAAAATAAATATAACAGCTACCCTTCACAATAAAAGCCTGTTTGTGGCCTCCACAATAAAAGACTGTCCTCCACAATAAAAGCCTGTGTGTGTGTCCTCCACAATAAAAGCCTGTGTGTGTGTCCTCCACAATAAAAGCCTGTGCGCACCCTCCACAATAAAAGCCTGTGTTCCCTCCACAGAGGCCGTGATGATGTACAGCCCTCAGCTGTGTTACATCCTGGACGGCTTCCTTGGTCTCTACGGACTCATCATCACCGCCATGCTCATCAAGGAGAAGGTCTGTGTACTCCTTTTATTTTGAAAAGGCTTCCTGCTGCACAATTCACATTTAAAGGGCCAGGCCCGAGTCTTCTCATCTTCACCTCATAATTTAATATATTTTATTCAAATCTTTTAGTTCTTTACAACCAAAGTGAAGGGAGGCGAGGAGAGCGTCTACAGCGTGAGTCAACCAATGGGATATTATTATAATACTTGTTATATTTATTATTATTATTATACTGTAAGTATCATTGTCATTGTTTGTTGTTGTTGTTGTTTACGTGTCTCTGTGTTCAGGATCTGGAGGGTCAGAGCTCTGGAGCTTACAATCAGCTGAGACAAAGAGTGAGTTCTGCTGTGGTTCTACATAGAACCTGAGACATAGAATATAACAGAACCCTGTCTGTGCCATAATTTCATAACTGAGTCGATTCATCGCCAGGAACCCGAAAAACAAACATTACGAAATATTCCAGAAAAATAGGCGAAGTAGTTTAAGAAGTGAGTTGATTAGAACCCTGAAGAACCTGATTCATTGTGATGTGTTCTGTCTCGTAGAACCGCCCGACGGACGACAACGCTGTCTACACCGTAAGACATTGAACATGTTAATATGAACGATGACGTGTGTGACTTGATGATATGAATAAGTATAACATTAGTGTGAACACTAATGCTCATGAGGTTTGTTTACTTCAGGGTCTGACCGGCCGTACAGAAGGAGAATACAAAGAGCTTCCTGTTAAGAGAGACGTGAGTCTGATTCTTCACGTATTCATCTGTTCACTTCATTGATCAGTGTCTGATTGATTATTAATCACATTATTAATGTTTGTGTCTCAGCGTCAGAGAAAGAACGAGCAGGTTTACCAGGTGAGTGAAGCTTCAGCTATTAATATGAGTTAGTTATTAATACAACTCTTGATATCTGATGTGTATTGATCGCTGTGTTCATGTCTTCAGGGTCTGAGCGCGGCCTCCAGAGACACCTACGACTCTCTGCAGATGCAGCCTCTTCCTCCTCGCTAATGCTACCTCACTTCCTGTCCACCTCACGTCCTGTCCACCTCTCAAACACCACAAGGATGGAAAGAGCCCATCTTTTATTTAGAAAACATTTTCACTATCCATAAAATCCCTAAAATTATCACAATTATTCATCGTGATGTCATCGAGATATTTTAACAAAATAATTTAACAGAAACATAAAGTTGTGAGAAAAGACAAATATTTATTTTCTCAGTAAAATGATTTAATTGAAGCTTATTTTTCTCCATAAAACTCTTCAACTGTCAATCAAAATAAATGACAGCCAATCACATCACTGGCTCTGAATTAAAATAAAAGATAAAATTATTTTTTATTAAATTTAGTTTATTTAGTTTTAATAATAACAATAATAATAATATATCAATTTTCTATAGCGCTTTTCAAGATACCCAAAGACGCTTTACAAGGCAGAGACAAACAGAACAAAAAAAAGAATGAAAAAAGAATGACTGGAGAAGCTGTGCTGAATGGGTCATGTAAAGGAGGGTGGGGTGCAGGGTTAGCAGGTGAAGGCAAGTTTGAAGAGGTGGGTTTTGAGGGCTTGTTTGAATGTTGATAGGGAGGGAGCCTCACGGATGTGGATGGGGAGGGCGTTCCAGAGGGGAGGTGCAGCAGCTGAGTTTTAGACGCTTTGGGCCTCCGTACTTTAGACAATTACAAAAACATGTACTGTAAAAATAACAATATGTAGAGCAGCTTTAAGTTCTTCCCTTTTAAATGTCATTGTACTTTTATTTTGCTTTTGATTTCTTATTTTGATGCTTTTATACTGAAATACTTTAACCAGTTAGTTGAGTTGTGAAAGTATTTCCTGATCGATCTGAACTTTGAAACAATCAATCGTTTGTTTTATTGTTTGGATATTTTCCTGAGAATTTGTGCTGTTTTTTTATGTGAATATCTTGCTATTCTGGTCATTTTCATGTTCGCTCTGTTAAAGCTAACCTGAGTTTATCTCTGAGATTAAAATGTTTCATAAAAATGTCTCAATAAATCGATTAAAGAACACAAATATGACATTTTACTGCCAACTGCTGGATTCATATATATGTATATATTCACGTATATATTCATATATATATATATATATTCATATAC